CTAGTCTCCACATAGGTTATCACAAGTCAATAAAGCTTGAAGCACTCAGAGGCTTACAGGGTCAGGTATCAGCCATCAACTGTGCCCATGCAATCTAAAAGGGTTTGTTACTTCAATCATCTGTATAAAACAGCAGTGGAGATAAGACTGAAAGATCTCAATAAAAATAAATGTTTCAGACTGAGAAGAAGGATGCAAGATGTAAAACATCTCTTCAATGAATTAATTCCCTGTTTGTGGTGAAAGAATGTACATTAAAAGATATGCACATATACCCCATACCTGCCAATTTATTTACGAACAAACAACATGAGGGAAATCTCACTGAGACCTGTTAACTGTATCGTTTGCACAGATGCACGCCACACTTCCGACTGCCCTTCGATGAATGTTTCAGGAGCCTTTGCATGGAGTTAGTGTCCAAGTCGAGTTTCACTGGGCAACAAAACTTTCCACATTAAGGAGGGAAGACAAGAGAGGTTGTATCTGATTAACGAGGTGTGGGTTCGTCCTCAGTTTGAACACTCCACTGACAGAGGAGAATTTGAAATAGTGAAACATTTATTAGGTTGTAGTTTTCTTATAAATTAATATTTTTCTAGATGTGTTGCAACAACTTGCACTTCTGCGGGTCCTTTTTAAAAGTTCAGTTGTAAGATGTATGCATATGCACCGCTCAACACTCCAGCATACATTTATGTCATGCATTTGGTTTGCTACTGTAATGATGGTGCAAGGTAGGTTCCACACCTTTTTATTTTAGGCTGGATATATTGTCTGTTTAAATAAGGTGTGAAGTAGCCCTCTCCACATTACTGAGGTCCCCCATCCTTAATACCATTCTGGGAAGTACCGTGGCTACAAGAGCAGGTCAGAGGCTCCGAATACTGCAGTGAATAAGTTAACTCCTGACTTCCCATAGCCTGTCAACAATCTGTAAGGCACAGTCGGGATTATGATGGAATATTCCGCACTTGCCTGGATGTGTGCAGCTCCAACAACATTCAAGAAGCTTGACACCATCAGGGACAAGGCAACTGACCCAAAGCATACAGTCCCTCTGTCACTGACATTGAGTATCAGCACTGTGCACTGCCTACAAGATCTGCTGCAGAAATTCACCAAGGCTTCTTGGACAGTGCTTTCCAAATCCATGACCACTACCATCATGAAGGACAAGGACAGCAGATACACAGGAATATCACAAACTCTAAGTTCCCCTTCGTGGTACTCACCATCCTGACCTGGAAATATATTGCCATTTTTCACTGTCACTGAGTGAAAACCTTAGAATTTCCTCCCTAGTGGTATTGTGGGCCTACCTACAGCGCATAGACTGAAACAGTTCAAAAAGGCAGCTTACTACCACCTTCTTAAAGGCAACTGGGGTTGGGCAATAAATGGTAGTCCAGTTAGTGATGCCCACATCCTGTTAATGAATTCAAAAAATAATTTCTTGTCATCCTTTCCAAAGCCATGATATTACTCCTAAAGTGTGATGTCCGGAATTGGACATGATACTCCAGTCATCTTTCATGAACAATGATTTGACACACATTCCTTGTTTTTATACGCAGTGTCTTCCTAACAGCCATCTCGATTTATGCTACAGGTTAAAGCTTTGTTTGTACAAACCCAATATCTCTTTGTTCCTGCACTGCTTTAAAACTGAGCTATTCATATAATTTGTCTTTCCTTGATCTTTCTTACAAAATACCTTACTTATGCACATTAAAAAAAATCTAAAATGCAGAGAAGAACAAACCCGTGTCATTCTGAGTATTTAGATTTCTTCACTTTACCTATAGATTTTATTTGTTTAAGGCCGTCACAAAGACAAAACAGGCAGCTTTAACAGTAAAGATAAAAGATCTGAACCTGGATCACCTACAAACCTAGTGAGCATTTAATAACAAAATGTGTTTTTTTTTACATAAGAAGACAAAAGCAATATAATTCAGTGACTGTTTGGAAGCCCTGCATGTATTATCCCTAGTGTGGAGGGAGATCATGGAATGTCATATCTGATGACAGCCAAGAAAACTTCAACAAGTAGTTAAGATAGCAAAGAAGGCATTTGGTAGTCAGGGCATTGAGTATAGGACTTGGGAGGTCATGTTGCAGCTGTGCAGGATATTGGTTCAGTCAATTTTGGAGTATTGTGTGCAATTCTGGTCTCCCTCCTATAGGAAGGATGTTGTGAACCTAGAAAGGGTTCAGAAAAAAATGTCGACGATGTTGCCAGGGTTGGAGGGTTTGAGCTATAGGAAGAAGCTGAAAAGGCTGGGATTATTTTCCTTGGAGCATTGGAGGCTGAGGGGTGACCTTAGAGAGGTATATAAAATCACAAGGGACATGGATAGGGTCAATAGGTAAGGTCTTTTCCCTAGGGTGGGAGAGTCCAAAACTAGAATGAATAGGTTTAAGGTGAGAGGGGAAAGATATAAAAGGGACCTAAGGGGCAAATTTTTCACGCAGAGGGTGGTGCATGTATGGAATGAGCTGCCAGAGGAAGTGGTGGAGGCTGGTACAGTTACAACATTTAAAAGGCATCTGGATGGGTGTATGAACACATAGGGTTTAGAGGAATATGGGCCAAATGCTGGCAAATGTAAGATATTAGGTTGGCATGGACAAGTTGTACCGAAGGGTCTGTTTCCGTGCTGTATACCTCTATGACTCTATGACTGTATGCCTTCAAAAGGGAGAAATGTACTGCAATCTGAACTGTAATTCTCCATGAGTTATCTCAGAGTGTGAATGTGATGGAGCAAAAACAGCGACCTTGGTTAAGAGATGGACTTGTTTTATTCCTCTTATGAATACTCAATAACAAGAATTAAAAAGCAGTTTCAACGCCAGTCTGTGTGTGCTAGTGAATAAAGGTGTGTGATGTGGGGGTCACAGCTGAGAAAACCCCTGGTCGTCTCTGCATGTAAAAATAAATGATGTCTCCCTCCCTCTGATGAAGCCAGAAATCTAGTGAAACTGCAATCTATATGAAACTGGACAAAGGCCTTTCAGTTGACGTGCAAAGCCAAGCATCTTGAAATCAACTGTTCATCTACCACTGTCAGTGCTGCTGGTATCACACAACATAATGACCACGGCATCCCATTATCCACTCTTCACAGAACTGATCTGCATATCTTTTACAAATTTAATTGTTTTCTTGGAGTCATTTCCTGTTTTAATGTGCGCATGTGTTGCATAATTATTTTTTCTCGCACTTACTAACTAATAATCTCACTTTTTTTGTTAACTCAAGAAGACCTGGTTAAATTGGCTCCTTTTAAAACATAACTCCATTTTATCTAGAAGAAAGGTATCCAAAGGGGAGGGATCCTTTCTAAATTAACCTTCTTGTGCCAATCTGAGGGGGCAGGTGAATAAAAACAAAACAGGCTAAATAATACTGCCTCACCCAAGAACAGTTGGGGCATCACCTCTGGAACTGCAATATATTGGGGAACCCTACCCTGGAGTTGGTTATAATGACTGGTTTATATAATATGAAGTGAATATATTTTATCATGGTATGAAAAGAATAAAACCATTTATATTTGTGTATGCATTATATACAGAATAATTATTATCTGAGTGGCTTAACGCTGGATTCTAATGGAAAAGAAACAATGGTTCATAAACGGAGAGGAACAGTCAACATGTCACAACACAAAGATAAAGGAGATTCCAGGACTGAGATGTTTATTGGAATGTAACCAAAGGATTTGTACTTTAGAGCAAATGGTCAGGAACAAATCTTGGAGCTAAGCAAAGATCTATCTTTCTCCTCGGGAATTACCAGGGTCAAATTCACAAGGCGTCAGGCTTTGAGCTATTTGCTTTTCATTAGGACTTCAGCTGTTGCTCTTTCCGCATACACTGCCAGACTCACTGAATATTTCCAGCATTTCTGCTCTTACTTAATTTCTAAGCTGCTTGTCAGAGTGCTTTACAAAGCAGGAAAAGATGCTTATTCAAAGTGTGGAAGCATGTTGAGAGCAAAGAGGAGGGGAATTGGAAACTTTCAAAAAATTGATACAGGCTCAGTGGACTGAACTGCCTTCTTCTGGACTGTATTACTCTATGATGGTGAAAGGATGATCAAGAACATTGAAACTGTTGAATAAAAGGTGGAGCACGGTACACCAAAATGGTTTTGGAAATGGTTGAGAAACAGATGTTTAATGGCTGAAAGAACGTAGTGAATTCAGGGTAAAATACGGCGTAACAATGTTTTTAAAAAGTGAGGGCTTCAGATTGGACCTTGAAAGGGACTGGAAAACGAAGGCATGAATTTAAAAAAAATCCATTTCAGTCAGGCCTGTCACAACATTGTAACGCAGTGAGGCTGTCACCAGCAATGAAGCGGCACTTCCCTCAGATTGCTTCTCTGAGAAACGTTTTAAAGCTTTTACATTCAGCGAGTGCATTTGAAGTTCAGGGGCTTTCGTGTGGACAAATGTGGTAACAAAAAGAGTCGTGAGGTGAATAAACTGTTCATCCGCTTCGCGATGCTGATGAGGGAGAAATGTAGGTTTGGGAGAGGAGCAAAGTCCCACTAATCAAATTGGGATAGTGCCGGTAAAGCATCCTGGTTTCAGCTCATAAACACAAACCTTACAACACAGCATTGCCTTGGTGACAATCTTCTGTTGGTATTTGCTTCTGTCCAATGACCCCTCTCTTGAAAGATTTAGCAAGGCAAACGGAAGAGGTTTGCCAAATATTTAGTTTTTAAAAACTAAACAAATGACGGTTAGCTTCCAAGCTGGGCTACAAACAGGTTGATGAGTGTTCCAATGTTTACTTTTGTGTGTGTGTTTTTTTTGAGGATGGTGGGGTTGGGTGGGGGGGAGGTGGTGATTTCGGCTGAAGAGTGAACTATATCCCTGACGGACGGCGAGAGATAGCAGCCCCGGGAACGCTGTATCTTTAAAAAAAAACAGGGTGGCGCTAAAGCCGAGCCAGGATTTTGTGCAGGCGGAAGTTAGTGACCTGACAGGGGAAGGAGGGAGGGATGTTACTGCGGCTCTGCATCATTACTGTCTGTGTCTGAGAGAGAGAGAGAGAGACAGAGGACTCCTGCAAGTTAGAAGGATCTCTGCATTTTACAACTGCGGGCAGCCTCAGAGAAGACAGGGACATCTCATTGAACCTTTGCAGCTCCTTTGTCACAATTTAAACCCGAACGCGTACAGAAACACGCAGTTGCCGGGATAACTTCATTGAGCGGATTGTTTTTGGTTTATTTGTTTTTTTAAAACTCTCTCAAGGTGGTGGTGGGTGGAGGGGGTTTGTAGGAGGTTGGAAGGGGGTGGGTGTGTGTGTCGAGATGAGAGTTGGAAGGTGCCAGGTTGCAGATGTGGTGGTGTCCGAGGCCAGCGCTGGCTGGGAGCTTGCAGCTTGAGCACTCGGCGGACGGATCGATACCGCTGCAAAAGTGACCGCATTAAGCCGGGCGCCCCAGGACCTCACCGACGCCTTCGAGGGAGCGGAAAACAAGCCCGGACATGGGCAACAGCTTCTCCAACGTGTCGGCGTTTCAGTCCCTGCACATCGTCATGCTGGGGCTGGACTCGGCGGGCAAAACCACTGTCCTGTACAGGCTCAAATTCAACGAGTTCGTCAACACGGTGCCCACCATCGGCTTCAACACCGAGAAGATCAGACTGGGCAACGGCACCACCAAGGGGATCAGCTGCCATTTCTGGGACGTGGGCGGCCAGGAGAAGCTGAGACCCCTCTGGAAGTCGTACAGCCGCTGCACCGACGGTATCATCTACGTGGTGGACTCGGTGGACGTGGACCGCCTGGAGGAAGCCAAGACCGAGCTGCACAAGATCACCAGGATCTCGGAGAACCAGGGCACCCCGCTGCTGGTCATCGCCAACAAGCAGGACCTGCCCAAGTCCCTGCCGGTGGGAGACATCGAGAGGCAACTGGCGCTGCAGGAGCTCTGCCCCTCCACCCCTTGGCATGTGCAGCCCGCCTGTGCCATCATTGGAGAAGGGCTGCCCGAGGGCATGGACAAACTGTACGAGATGATTGTGAAACGGAGGAAAGCCCTGAGGTCGAAGAAGAAACGCTGACTCCACACGTAGGTTATCTGTGAGAAAGAAAACGTGTTGCAGCGACAAAGTGTGTGATTTAGAGCTCCAAAGGTACTGTAGAAAATGTGCAGATCAATCTATATTATAGATTATATATATATTTATTTAAGATAAATAATAAGACATCCATCAGATTGTTATGGCGTGATAAGACTGTTGCAAGAATGCAAAGAGCCAGGATTTGAACCCAGTTTAATTGCACCACACTCAGGACACTGGATGTTGGTGCTGGGCGCACTGCACCGGGGAGGGGATTGCACACTGGAGGGGTTTTATTTTTTGCGAAAGAACTGTTGGATGCGCTGAGGGGTTTTATGCTCGTTTGGTTTCCCCTCCTGGCAAGCCCACCGACCTTATGAGACTGTGTCGCCACGCATCACCCCGGGAAGATGAAGAGATTGCCTGGTCACTTTAAGACTGTTCTCAAGTGTAGGACGTTTTCGAATACATTTTGTACAAAAAAGAGAAAGAAAATCCCATCCAGTATTTGTGTTTTCGAAAATGGATCCACCGTCCGATTCGCTGCGTTTTTTTTGTTTTGTTTGTCCCTACTTGGCTTCGACCGATGGAAAAACGGCGTGTAACCGAGGATAAGAAGTGAGATTCAGCTTTCGGTGGGTTTAATGGAACCTGTTGTAAAAGTCGCTTGTGAGCTCTCTGAGAGAATCAGTGGGCAGGACGCAGATCTGAGAAAGATGGGCTACGGTGCAGAAAGGAGGCCCTTATCTTTTGTAGCTACACTTTGGCTATGCCCTCTTAAGTTTAACATTTTTTTTAGTCGATTATTAAACTGAACTAGGTAAGGCTGGCCCTCACCTTTAATTCATCCATGTACTCTATGTATTTATCTGCATTTGGTATTTTAAACATGTCTTTTACCAACATAGTTGGCGGTAAGGATGATTTATGATCTTGGGATAATAAAACAAACCCTTGTGATAAAAGAATCATGTGGTGTTTTCTGTCCTTGGCCGAGGTCAACTCTCCTCGTTATTTTTATTCTCACTGGCCTCCTCGCTACCTTTGTCTTCCCTCTGTCCTTGTTATACATCATCTTACTTTGCATTGGCAAGCAACCTGTTTTGCATCTCGACTTGTAAGACTTCACTGGTTAAGAATTAAAAACAAAATAAATGTGACTGAGATTACAACTGTACCAACACAGAGCTCCAGTGTGCGACATTCACATCGGTAGGTGCAATTACATTAGATCAACACAGTTAGAGCACGATACACTTATTTTGGGATTGTCCTGAGGCATTCAATTTGGCAGCTGGAGTGAAGTTTTTTTTATCTTAATTCTGGTGCAAGGAATATTTTTGAGGAAGGATTGCAAGTGATAATCGCCCAGGGAGGAGGAGCAGGTGAGGCAGTGCTCAAGGATTTTTGGTCTACAAGTAAATGGTTTTGTGCAGGATAAGTGTTAAATAACAACTGTTTGGGGACAGAGGGGGAGAAACCACCGTGGTTTCTGATTTATGCCCTGCTGCTCGGATAAGATCTCCCAAGAAAGTCACTGTAAATAGGGCAAATCATCTTTAAATTCTGTTTAATCATTTCTTTTTGATGAGTTGCAAATCCTTCATTTTAACATGGATGCCCTTCCAAGCAGTAAAATGGAATTGAGTAACAATTTGGTGTCAGTGTAGGTTTCAAAGGAAAGCAAGCATATGTGCCACTCAATAGCAGAGGCCTGGGTTTCAGCCCTAGCTGAGCTAAATCCCACGAAACGCACAAATCAATTGCCAATAAATCTGCTTGAGTCCAGCTGTGGATAGAGACTGAATGAAGAAGACAGATCTGTCCCCACAGCCTAATTACATCGGCGGTGGGGGTGAGTAGGGGTGGTGTGGGGAGGGATAGAATATTTCTTTGTAGAATATCTTTTCCTGTCAAACCCCATATTAATAATAAAAAAATTCTGTTTATCCACCCACACCAAATCGAGGAAGCAAAAATCCGTAAGTACAAGTCTCATCTTGTGACAAGACCCATTGCTGTTTGTAGTCAATGCCACTAATTTAAACCTTCTTGAACTTTTAAGTAACCCAACCAGTCAGATCATGAACAAAACCTGTTTAATCCTGACACATAAATAACAGGTCGTGAACAGGGTAAATACTGTCAGACAAATCAGTCAGGATTTATTGATTTACAGGATTTAACTCTCAGCTCATCTGCCCAACTCTCAGATATGACGGTTACAATTTTGTGATTTTTGATTTTCATAATGTAAAAAAGGTTGATGCTTTCTCAAGAAATGGAAATATTTTTGATCTGTTTTGGAAAAGCTCTGTTACCATCATACTAATTACCGAAGCACAGAGTCGAGGTATTTGCATGTCACATTTTGACAAAAATGAGATTTGAACCAAAAAGATGTTTTACAAGCAAGCATATTATTTTCTTAAAGTACTGCCCCTTTAAAATGTGGGACATAGGATCTATTTCCAATTTATTAGGAAGAACTGATGAAAAAAACTAAAAAACGTGGATGTACTTTTGATTTTGCATATGTGGGGGTGTCATGCATGTATATTTACATGTATGTGTGCCTCTTTCGGATAACAGTTTCTTTGCAGGAGTAATACATTTGTCCTTCATTACTTGATGATTTTTCCCAGAGCGATATGTCTGTATCTAATTCCTTTGACTCAATTCAATGTATACAAAAGTAGTTCAGTTCTTAGCTCAGCACCCACAGGAGACACAGATCATATAATTAATTAGCGCACATCTGCAGATTTGTTGGCCCATGCTGAATCAATATTACTTTGAGATTCTTTCTGTGAGAATATGATACAATTGACATTTAGTTGCAGAGTTGGTCTTTTCTGTAAATGAATTACTAAATCTTTGCAAAATCCTCTTTATGGATGATTGTCAAAGCTTTAGGATGCAGCAATATTACATCATCGACTTTATAGCACCGCTGCTGGGCTCGAAAAATATTCATATTTGGAAGCACTTTTTTTTAATGATCATCGCAATACACATCCCTATCAAACATAAATCTCTTCTGTTCTATCAAACTTTATTCCTGTATCTTTTCCCATTTGGCTTTTATTGTACACTTGTGGTGTTATATGATGCTTTCACTGCATATCTTGCATTTACGTTGAGCAATTGTTGTATACAGAACTCAGTTGCAGTCAGACCAGCCCAGGAGTTCAGCAGAAATGCTCTCATTTTCTCAGGACTTCTTCAAAGCACGCCTGAAGAGGCCAAACAGTGACTCATGGGAAACCCTAGCTTGTGACCGACCAAAATTTGGGAAGAAAGCTGAGCATTTTGAGAGAATCCATAAACACCTTGTTTACCCAACCCTGCAAGCACCACCTAACCCAGCTATGGTGGAACAGGCAAACCATGCATTGGGCATGTTAGCCATCGTAGAGCCCAATGTGGAAGCAAGTCACCCTCAATTTCAAGGGATTGTGTTAAGAAGACAAAGGGATGGTGGAATTTTCTGCTCTTGGAGGTGGTGCATCTAGAGGTAGGAAGAGCAGTTGATTAGGTGAGTTGATGACATAACCAAACATTGCCACCTCCCTGCTCCAACCAGAACTAAGTTCTAGTTGGGAAGGTCCATGGTTGACCTCTCACCCCACTGCCAATAAAAAAGGTCATTGAAGGAAGACTCCAGGGTCTTAGGCCTCTGCTGTTGGAATTAACCCAGATGCAAGTGGGTCTGTCACCATGCAGCGTTCCCATTAGTTGGCACTCTGCAGGCAGCTTGTCAGCTCCACAGTGTCCGTTGATGAAAGGGAATCAGATGCCTGGTTGAGGGTCTGGATATTGGATGTTCGAGGGCCATCCCCCTGCCCTTGCTTCCAATCCCCTCTACCCATCCAGTCCCACAACCCCCAATCTGAGAACATCACCCTTCCCCAGACATTGCTTATCTCTGTCCTGTGTCCTCCGTGATCCTGGGACTCCAAGGGTTCTCTACTGCCGTCAACTCCAGCCTCCTCCAGGACATGACTGAACACAATAGCTTCAGGTCTTTTCATGGCTGGTCTCTCTGGAGGAGACTTCCACTCCCCAAGGAAGGGGTTATTGATTCCAGGATAATGATTGGCATGGTCCAATGAGTCTTTCGTGGAACAGGCAATGTGAGCATCTTACAACTTCTTCAATTGGCAGCCCAACGCCTGAACAAGATTCTGTCCATTTTATTATACTTAGTTATGAAAGCTGTTGGCAGGTCATTGGTGAAAGTGATTTATGTATCCGATCCAACTGTGATCAGCCATCATTCCATTGCCTGAGTGACAGGCAGAAAACCACCTTTTCACATTTTTCTTCTCAAACTGTAAACAGCACCGCTCACATTCAGATAGCTCCTGACTCTTCACAGTTGGGCAGTTCAGTTGTAATTCTTCAATCGCAGTTGGTATTCCACAGCAGCATGTAGACCATTGTTAAAATTAACTCTCAAGTGTTTCAAGAATGTGCCCAAAATTAAGACTAGCTCAGAAAATCCATCAGGAAAGGTCAGAGCCAGGAAAACTGAAGTGTGAGGCACACACACAGACACTGCCCTGCAATGCTTGACAGAGTTTCCCAAACAAATTCACACATTTTATTAATACAGTACGTGTGCAACTATTTGTACCTCGAGGTTTTTGTGTGCTTTCCCCCCAGCAAAAGGACGGTACGAGTGTTGGTGGTAGGAGTTAGTTTTCTGACTGTTCCTGTGTTCTGGAGACTAAAAATACTGGCATTTATATAGGACTTTTCATGACCTCAAGACATCCCAAATGACTTTTAGAGGCAATAAAGTACTTTTGTTGTAATGGAACCACAACAACCAAATTGCACTTAGCAAGCTCCTACAAACAGCAATGTGATGAACAATCACATGTTATTTTTATGTGATGTTGGTTGGAAGAGAGGAAGAAGAGAATTCCTGTGGCCTTATTTGAAGTAATGGCCTTCGGACCTTTTATATCCACCTGAGGGGGCGGACAGGGTTTTGAATTAACATCTCGTTTAAAGTTCAATATCTCCAAGAGTGACTGTGCATGGCTTCTTCGGTACTGTATTGGAATGTCAGCCTGGATTTTTGTCTGTAACTATCTGGAGTGGGTCTCAGACACCACAAAGTTTCAAATCAAAAATAGGAAAATAAACTCAGTTCTGATGAAGGGTTACTGAACTCAAAACATTCACTTTTTTTTCCTCTACAAACGCTACCAGACCTGTTGAGTTTCTCCAGCCCTTTCTGTTTTTGTTTGAGATTTGGAGATGCACAGTGACTCAGTGGTTAGCATTACTGCCTCACAGTGCCAGGGACCTAGGTTCAATTGCAGCCTCGGGTGACTGACTGTGTGTGGAGTTTGCACATTCTCCCTGTCTCTGTGTGGGTTTCATCTGGGTGCTCTGATATCTTCCCACAGTCCAAAGATGCGTAGGTTAGGTGGATTGGCCGTGCTAAATTACCCTGTAATGTGTGGGTTAGTCATGTGAAATGCAGGGTTACAGGGATGTGTCTGGGTGGGGTGCTCTTTGGGAGACTGGTGTTGGACTCGATGGGCTGAATGGCCTGCTTCCACACTGTAGGGCTTCTATATGGTTTCCAGCATCTGCAGTTGTTTCTTTTTCTACCAACGTAACCAGGGCTGACACTGAGCAATGATGTGAATGAATTTAGTGGATTTAATGACAGCTGAACAACTTTTATTGAAGCTATCAGTCACGTTATTGCTTAGTATTAACAATCAATGCGTGAATCATCACATACCAAATTATTTCATAACTAAACGACAGTCAGTTACATTTTCTGCATGTTTTACATGAGAGCCAACGTTGGTTCAACAAAGAGTGCAGTTGGGCATACCAGAAGTAACAGCAGGAGTATTCAGACAGAGGTACCAAACCAGTGATGCTACAACACAGGAGTATATTAAGCCAAATAGTGGAAACTATATTATGTACTTATCTA